GCCTTGAGGAGAGATTTCTCCCTCACTGCCTTCATAAAAAATTTCATTTTCACTTGACATTTCATCATCTTCTAATTTTCCACCGATATTATTCATAATCATAATATTATGCCAAATAATGCATGAATTAATTATTTTCCCTGCTACGATGGCGTCATACATTAACACTCTCTCTCTTAGAAGGCAACGAAATCTCGTTTTGAGCACTCCAAAGCAGCGTTTAACGCAGTTCCTGGCTTTTCTGTGCCGTCTATTATAGTTTTCCTCTGATTGAGATAGATTGTTACCCTGAATTGGAGTCATTAAGAAAGGAAGCTGCGGGTATCTGCTGTCACCTGTATATAAAATATATGGAACGTTAGTACAAGCAAAAATAATAAAATAGTAAATAGCTTCACCCAACAACCAAAAATTTCGTTCACCATTTGAGTATTTATTATCCAACAGAACCTTAAGTGCTCTCGCTCTCCATACTGAAGCATCGTGAGCAGTTCCACCGAATCTTGCATTACAATCTAATATTTTTAAATTGAAGTCGCATACCGTGGAAAATAATTTATACGATTATTTTGTGATTATGTATATTTCCAATAAATATTACGGCTATTCGGGATATTGTGCATATGCTCTTGGATTTGTATATTCGGTGCATTTGTAAATTCACAACAATAAAATGCACACGGTTGCCATGGCAGCAATCATAAAATTTGCAAATGCAATTCCAACCGCAAACCCAAGACTCTTTCCACAACATCCTGAACAGCCCTATTGATTTATTCGTACCACTTGCACGTTTATTGAGTGACCTCCTTTCCTACACACATATACGTGCTCGATGTCCTTGCTTGGTTTCTTTATATTAATATGGGAACCGTCAATAGCCCCTATTACCCCTGGGAACCGGAATTCACGATAAAATCTGTCGAAGGTAATAAATGCTATAACTATGCTGCTTTCCATACTATGTACAAACTTACATCTCCTTTACTGCTTGTATGTCTTCGGCTGAACTTGGAAATTTAACGTACTTGGCCAATAAATGCTTGTCTATTATATTGGCAACTTCCCTCACACATCTGCTAACGCTGCTTTGGGAGATATTTAGCAAAAAGTCTTGCCCGACTGACCGCTGGTAACTTCCTGAAAAGATTACACATTTTCGTGAAATTGATTTGTTTAAAAATATACAAAGCTATATTCACCTTGAGCGAAAAATCGCAAAGTTGCAAGGAATCGCAACCTTTTGGGAAGTCCATTTGCTGCCATTTCTCGCATATGAGGACGGATCTCCTCAAAGATACTGTTACACATTTCTTTAGGGAGCCTGAAAAGCTCCACAAACCTCTCTTCAGAAACGTTGAAAGGATCCGTAGGCTCCCTCAAGGTTTTGCGTTTTTTGCGAAGGCGGTTCCTCAATGTTCTTTGTCCTATCGTTTGATAGGAATTGTTGAAAAAATTAAGCAATACAAAGAAAATTAATATTTAAACAACGAAAATAGAAAATAAGAACAAAAATGTTTACGTCGCGTCGTTTGGACGAAAATTCTTGAATTTATAGAAAACAGAATAAATTCGACCGCCGAGCAAGAAACATTAATTTTTATTAATTTGAATCGGCATAGCTACAATAAAATTTTGTGTGCATACAAAGTCCATTAAATTCTCCAATAAAAAATTGGTGCTTTTTTTCAAGAAAAACGCGATTTTTCTTGGGCTTTAGTGCTTTTTCAAAATCAAAACTTGGCAACACTGCTTAGGATGACGTCTATTGCTAGGATATCTCACTTGTATTTGTACACAATGACTTTTATTTTGAGTTGACTTCAGTGTACATTGACATGTGTGTCTTTTGGCAAAAATATAACGATTTTTCTCATGAAACTTTACGAGGATGTTAAGAAACAGATATGTTTACATAAATTCGCACTATTTTCACTTTCTTAATACGAGTATTTAAGAAATTTATTGTTTAAATTGTTTGCACTTCCACAAATTTTCATATACAAAGATCACCTATCACTTATATTTGCATAAATGCACGATCTTTTCAATGCAAATTGCAAATAAATCAAAATGGCTGTACATGATTCAATAACTACAGGTTGTAGCAAAAGTCCAAAAACATCTATTACCGTTTTACTCCTTGTGTCAACAACAGCTTCGGGAAAATTTTAGTTTGACATCCCCCGCGTACAAAAAAAAGGTGGCTATGGGGGGGTAGGGGGAGTTCTCCTGATTGCAAATATATATACTTTAAGCCGCAGGAGGCTTATAGTTTTTAAGTTATTTGTTGTTAAAGTTTGTAAATTGAACTAACCTCTCGGCGCTTCACACAATAAAGACTATATTTATGTACACGCTTCGGCAAAATAGTTGCATTAAAACCCCGCACAATGAAATGTAAACATATTTTTTACATTTATGATGTATTTTTAGTAAATTAAGTAAGTTTTTATAGTTATCACGCACTTATATATGTATACGCACATTGTAAATACAGAACCGTTGATTCATCCATGGTTTCACACTGACATTAGAAGAGTGCTGCCACATCTAAGAAAATAACAATAAAAGAGAATAGTTTTTATCGTACCCATTTTCCTGCTCAGCGTTGAATTAGTAGTAAAGGAGGGTATGGGGTTAAACACCCCCAATATATACAAAAAATGACAAGCGCGGCAGGCGAAGAAAATCGCGCGATTTTTTATTAAAAATTTTCATTGTTTATCGAAGTATTGATTTTTATGGGAAAAGCGCCGCAGGCGAAAATTTGTAATAAAAAAAGCGCGATTTTTTATTACAAATTTTCATTATTTATCGAAGTATTGATTTTTACGGAAAAAGCGCCGCAGGCGAAATGTTTTAATAAAAAATCGTGCGATTTTTAAAGCTGTAGGGCAGCGCTGTATTTTTTCTTGTAAATAAATTAGGTATTTAAGCTGTAGGTTAAGTTTTTGAAGCTGTAGAACAGCCTTGTGATTTTATATATTGAACAATGTAAGTTACTAAGAACACCATTTTGAATTTTGGTGCAATTTTTGTGACCATCGCGGCAATTTTATTTTTGGGTTTATTATGGCATCAAAATTCGTAAATTAAAAAAAGTTATTAACTACATGTGNTTGTGACCATCGCGGCAATTTTATTTTTGGGTTTATTATGGCATCAAAATTCGTAAATTAAAAAAAATTATTAACTACATGTTGTCTCGCAGATATGCCTTGAGGAGAGATTTCTCCCTCACTGCCTTCATAAAAAATTTCATTTTCACTTGACATTTCATCATCTTCTAATTTTCCACCGATATTATTCATAATCATAATATTATGCCAAATAATGCATGAATTAATTATTTTCCCTGCTACGATGGCGTCATACATTAACACTCTCTCTCTTAGAAGGCAACGAAATCTCGTTTTGAGCACTCCAAAGCAGCGTTTAACGCAGTTCCTGGCTTTTCTGTGCCGTCTATTATAGTTTTCCTCTGATTGAGATAGATTGTTACCCTGAATTGGAGTCATTAAGAAAGGAAGCTGCGGGTATCTGCTGTCACCTGTATATAAAATATATGGAACGTTAGTACAAGCAAAAATAATAAAATAGTAAATAACTTCACCCAACAACCAAAAATTTCGTTCACCATTTGAGTATTTATTATCCAACAGAACCTTAAGTGCTCTCGCTCTCCATACTGAAGCATCGTGAGCAGTTCCACCGAATCTTGCATTACAATCTAATATTTTTAAATTGAAGTCGCATACCGTGGAAAATAATTTATACGATTATGTTGTGATTATGTATATTTCCAATAAATATTACGGCTGTTCGGGATATTGTGCATATGCTCTTGGATTTGTATATTCGGTGCATTTGTAAATTCACAACAATAAAATGCACACGGTTGCCATGGCAGCAATCATAAAATTTGCAAATGCAATTCCAACCGCAAACCCAAGACTCTTTCCACAACATCCTGAACAGCCCTATTGATTTATTCGTACCACTTGCACGTTTAGTGAGTGACCTCCTTTCCTACACACATATACGTGCTCGATGTCCTTGCTTGGTTTCTTTATATTAATATGGGAACCGTCAATAGCCCCTATTACCCCTGGGAACCGGAATTCACGATAAAATCTGTGGAAGGTAATAAATGCTATAACTATGCTGCTTTCCATACTATGTACAAACTTACATCTCCTTTACTGCTTGTATGCCTTCGGCTGAAGTTGGAAATTTCACGTACTTGGCCAATAAATGCTTGTCTATTATATTGGCAACTTCCCTCACACATCTGCTAACGCTGCTTTGGAGAATTACAAAAATCTGCGACTGACCGCTGGTAACTTCCTGAAAAGATTACACATTTTCGTGAAATTGATTTGTTTAAAAATATGCAAAGCTATATTCACCTTGAGCGAAAAATCGCAAAGTTGCAAGGAATCGCAACATTTTGGGAATTCCATTTGCTGCCATTTCTCGCATATGGGACGGATCTCCTCAAAGATACTGTTACACATTTCTTTAGGGAGCCTGAAAAGCTCCACAAACCTCTCTTCAGAAACGTTGAAAGGATCCGTAGACTCCCTCAAGGTTTTGCGTTTTTTGCGAAGGCGGTTCCTCATTGTTCTTTGCGATTCCATTGCAATACGAAACGAAAGTCTTTGCCACTCATGATTACGCTAAAGGAAATGAAATATAATAAAAATTTAGTCTGTTATTATTTTCGCTATTACAATTTTATATTTTTACTCAATATTTTTTTACTGAGCGCTTTATTTTGACCAACTATGTTAGCATTACTTTGGAATGTAAAATGTATAGTAATGTATTGCTTCCATCACATATTTCATTCCATACCCCTACACAATTACAAAAGCGGAGTTCACTCTTTGTAGCATAGTTGGGTTGTAAGGTGCAATCCTATCGATAAACTTATTTATGCGATTTGTGGTTGGAAAAGCAAACATTGGGTAGGGTTTAGTTATTTGTCCAATGATTTCGCAAATGGGTGACCCGATCCAAATTTTTATTAACACTTGTAGTCAAGGGTCTACACTTTATTGTAATGCCAAACCTTGTAATTTTCGGTCACCAACACGGAAAGGTGTTCTACACAAATATACTGTTTATCGAGTTTACATTTCCGGTGTCAAAATTCTAGTTTTAGACCATTTTGCAATGGTTCCCCAAAAGTCTGTGAAAGGTTTTGAGGGGTCAGGTGTGACTTTTTACTAAGTGTGAACTGTGCTCTTTCCAGTGGGTTGGATATTAAGACCCACGACCACTCCTCCTCCGACCACTAACCCGAAAACAGTGGGCAAATAACTAACAATTCCCCAAACATTTGCTACGAAGAGTGAACTCCACTAATACATTTATGTATTTGGTTTGACTCTTAATTAAAAAAGTCATATATATTGTATGAAATAAATATATATGTAATCATATCAATACTTTCTGGCCATGCCACAAAACCAATTCAACCAACTATTTTTGATGTGATCACCATTGAAAACATCCTTCGCACTGCCTTTAATAAACATTATTGTTGGATAAGAACGAATTTTCATTTCACGCGGTAAATACGAAAATCGTGTACAAAGAAGTTTTCCTACTCGCATATTCAGGCCATGTAGTTCCAGAGCAACTTGCCCGAAAATTGGCTCCGTGTGTTTGCAGTAACCACACCATTGTTCATAAAATATGACCATCGTCCTTCCAAGAAACGATTGGGTGTGTGGTTTAGTAAATAATGGCTAGCAACTTTAGAAGCGGCTTGCATTGTGAATTAAGTTTTATATTTATTGCTGGTTTCATGAATAGCATTACATCAGTTTTTATACCCGAACGCCCTTGTGCACAA